TGCAAAACGAGCACTTCTTGAGGTTAGCATACAATTTCTCCTTTCTCAACATCGCCAACACCTCTCTCAAGTGATTGAGATGATCCTCCATGCACTTCGAGTAGATCAGAATGTCGTCGAAGTATACGACCACGAACTTGCCAATGAATGGCCTCAAAACATGGTTCATCAGCCTCATGAAAGTGCTAGGAGCATTGGTTAAACCAAAGGGCATCACCATCCATTCGTATAGACCCTGCTTGGTCTTAAACGCAGTCTTCCACTCGTCTCCCTCCTTCATACGAATTTGGTGGTAACCTGATCTCAAATCAATCTTGGAAAACACCGTAGAGCCATGTAATTCATCAAGCATATCATCTAATCGTGGAATGGGATGACGATACTTAACTGTAATTTGATTGATGGCTCGGCAGTCTACACACATCCGCCAGGTGTGATCCTTCTTTGGCACGAGAATCACCGGAACTGCACACGGGCTCAAACTTTCTCGAACATGCCCCTTCTCCATGAGCTCGTCAATCTGCCTTTGCAGCTCTTTGGTCTCTTCCGGGTTAGCTCGATATGCTGCCTTGTTTGGAATTTGAGCTCCCGGCAAGAAATCAATTTGGTGCTCAATTCCGCGAATAGGAGGCAGCCCCTTCGGTGCTTCCTCTGGAAACACATCCTCGAACTCATCCAACACCACTCTTGCTTCGGCTGGAACTTCTTGGACTAGCTCTTGATTGAGCAGCACGTCCCTGTACATGAGCACAATCAAAGGTTCTCGTGCACAGGTAGCTTGCTTCAAATCTCCATTGCGTGCTAGCATCACTGCCTTCGAATCCACAATTCCAGCTCCCTCTTCTCCTTTCTTGGCCGAGGCATTACTTGCCTTTTCTTGCTCTCGACGTTGCTGCATTTGGAGTTGATCTCGATATACTTCACTTGGAGACAGAGGCTTCAACACGAACTTCTTTCCTCCATGTTGCAACTTGTACTTATTTTTCACTCCATCGTGCTGTGCTTGTCGATCAAATTGCCATGGCCTGCCAAAAAGCACATGTGCAGCTTGCATAGGCACTATATCACACAAAATCTCATCTTTGTAATCTCCAATCTCGAACTTCATTAGTGCCTGCTTTGTGACTTTGATGGATCCGTGATCGTTAAGCCATTGCAGCGTGTATGGCTTTGGATGCTTCAACGTAGGCAGCCCTAGCCTCTTCACCGCACACGCGCTCACAACGTTCGTGCAACTTCCTCCATCGATCACTAGAGACAGCAACTTCCCATCAACTACACATCTCGTATGGAAGATATTTTCTCTCTGTTCACTCTCCTCCTTAGGCTGCACAGACAATACTCTCCGTGCTACAAACAAGCTGCCAGGAGGTGGTTCCATTTCCATAGACTCATCGACATCAGAATCGGTGGTCTCTTCCTCTTCCTCCGATACATACTCACCATTATCAAGCAAGATCAGGGTCTTCTTATTGGCACACTGGCTCGCAATGTGTCCTCTTCCATGGCATTTGAAACAACGAATTTCCCCCGACGTTCCACCTTGCTTCATAACTGGATTTGCACCATCAGCCCTTGCCGCGGGTCTAGGAGCTTCTTTCACGGGCAGTTGCGGCTTAGGGTTGGTTGCAACTCCTTGGCTCGAACGTGTGGAATTCATGGAGGGTTGAAACCTCCTATTTCGAAGCTGTCGTTCCACTTTACTTGCCATATCCACCAAATCTTCAAGTTCAAGGAACGGTTGTATCTCCACCACGTTCTTGATCTCTCGATTGAGACCATACAGAAAACGAGCTATGGTAGCCTCGCGGTCCTCTCTCACATCAGCACGTATCATCAACACTTCCAACTCCTTGTGATAATCTTCAACGCTTTTAGTTCCTTGCCGGAGAAGCTGGAGGTTTTGATACATATCTCGCAAATGGGAACTCGGTACAAACCGATCCCTCATAATTCCTTTCATCTCATCCCACGTCTCAATAGGACGCTGCCTGTTTCTCCTTCGTTTTGTTCCCAACTGATCCCACCAAACAAGTGCATAATCCGAGAACTCTAGGGCAGCCAATGTCACTTTCTTCTTCTCGGAGTAGTTATGACAATCAAACACTAGTTCCATCTTTCGCTCCCAATCCAAATAAGCATCAGGGTTCGTGGTACCGCGAAAAGGTGGAATTGTGACCTTGAGGTTTCGCAAATCATCCTCCTCAAAGCCCTCTTCTTCCTCGTCATTAAACTCCTCTTCATGATGTTGTTGCCGCCCTCTTCTTTCAGCTCGAGGCATTCCCAGGCGTCTATGCTGGCGCATATGACGCTGTATTTCGTGAACCAAGGGTGGAGGAGCTCGGTTTTCCCTTCCCCTTTCTTCTTGTTGAGGTCTAGGGTTAGGGTTTGCATCGACCACAACCGGCTGCTGAAGCCTTGTCTCGACAGCCTCCATCCTCGTGGCTTGCTCGGCAAGCCTTGCTGTTTGCTCTTCTTGAGCACGAGCAATGTTCTCCAATCGATTTCTGATCGCTTCGAGTGCTGCTTCCATGTTTGATAGGCAAGAAAAGTCCACGAACACAAGAACTCTCAAGAATAAACAACCTCCTGTCTTGCGGCTCAAGAACACGCCAAGACCTTCAAGAAAACTTCAAGAACACGCCACTGATTTGAACCTTAGCTCTGATACCACTTGATATAATCAAAGTTGCGCAGGGTCAAGCTTCTCGAACCAAACAGAACCGGATAGGATGGAAATCGATCGGACAGTACTCACCCGTGAATAAGGGCAATCGATATGTGAATCGATCGGACAGATTCAACTCGGAATAAAGGGCAATCGATATGGGTAGCTCGCCACAACCAGGGTGATTACCTAGCTGATAAGAGTCGCTCTAGCACTCTGGAGATTCTCGACAGAGCAATTAGGGCAAATTCCGCGTAGGGAACTCGGCTTTAGCCTCTGAAATTCAATAATAATCGTCTAAGGGCAAAACCAACGTGTTCAGCCCTTTAAATAGGCAAAATACAACCCAAATCCGACTCTAACATGGAAAAACAATCATAAACCGACTTTAAAACAAGGAAACTCGGAAACAGCCCAGCAAACCCGTTAAGCCCAACCCGTTAAGCCTGGACCCGTTAAGTAAACCCGTTAAGGCTGGACCCGTTAAGCAAACCCGTTAAGGCTGCTTCTTGCAATCTGCCTTTTCTTCAGCACTTCCTCCTTCTTCCTCCACTCGAATCATCATATATGGCTTCCCTCGAAATAGCTCCACATCCATGGCTCCAAAGTAGCTCTCCAAATATGTCGCAAGCTTCTCCTTCAATGTCCTTGCCTTAGCACGTGTGACTGGCCCATTGATGTCCTCATCAGCCCCTCCTTCTTCAAAAGGATTTGCCCTCAAATCCGAATTGCCATCCAAATAAGGTGCAAGGTCAGAAACATTAAACGTTGCACTTACTCCATACTCTCCCGGCAAGTCGATCTTGTAGGCATTGCTTCCAATCTTCGAAACCACCTGGAAAGGACCATCACATCGGGGCATTAACTTTGATTTCCTCTGCTGGGGAAACCTCTCCTTCCTCAAATGCACCCACACCCAGTCGCCAACTTCAAAGTGCCTCGGTTTCCTGTTTTTGTTCACATTGCGCATGATCTGCTCCGTCCTTCTCTCAATGTTCAATCTCGCCTTCTCATGTAAACTCTTCACGAACTCAGCTTTCTTGGCTCCATCGAGATTGACCTGCTCATTCAAAGGTAATGGCATCAAATCCAAAGGAGTGAGTGGATTGAAACCATACACGAGCTCAAACGGAGTGAACTTCGTCGTCGAGTGCACCATCCTGTTGTAAGCAAACTCTACATGGGGAAGGCAGTCCTCCCAAACCCTGATGTTGCTCTTGATCACAGCTCGAAGCATCTGGGATAATGTTCGATTGACCACCTCTGTTTGCCCATCGGTTTGAGGGTGACATGTAGTAGAGAACAACAGCTTCGTCCCCAGTTTGCTCCACAACGTCTTCCAGAAGAAACTCAGAAACTTAGTATCTCGATCGGATACTATGGAACGCGGCATCCCATGCAATCGCACCACTTCCCTGAAAAACAAATCAGCCACGTTAACCGCATCGTCAGTCTTATGGCATGGGATAAAGTGTGCCATCTTCGAGAATCGATCCACCACCACGAAAATCGAATCTCTTCCCTTCCTTGTCCGCGGCAAACCAAGCACAAAATCCATAGAGATGTCGATCCATGGAGCATATGGAATCGGTAGCGGTGTGTACAATCCAGATGATTGCACCTTCGACTTGGCCTGCTTGCACTCCACACACCTCGCACACAGATTCTCCACGTCTCCCTTCATGTGCGGCCAATAGAAGTGCTCTTGTAGACAACTCAGCGTCTTGTCTACACCGAAATGGGCCATTAAGCCTCCTCCATGAGCCTCTTTCAACAGCAACTCTCGAAGTGATGATCGAGGAATACACAACTGGTTAGCTCGAAACAAGTAACCATCACTTCGATAGAACTTCCCATCGCCATGCTGCTCACAAGCTCTATAGATCTCCCCAAAGTCAGCATCTTCAGAATAGAGCTCCTTGATATGCTCGAAACCCAAATACTTCACCCCCATTGTCGTGATCAACGAATTCCTTCGAGATAGGGCATCAGCAACTACATTTTCTTTGCCCTGCTTGTACTTGATCACGTATGGAAAGGACTCAATGAACTCAACCCATCGAGCATGTCTCTTGTTCAGCTTGTGTTGAGCTTTCAAATACTTCAACGACTCGTGATCAGTGTGAATCACGAACTCCTTCGGCCAAAGATAGTGCTGCCATGTCTCTAAGGCTCGAACTAGAGCATAAAGCTCCTTGTCGTACGTCGGATAGTTGAGGGCAGCCCCACTCAACTTCTCGCTGAAGTAAGCAATCGGCTTCTTCTCTTGCATCAACACTGCTCCAATTCCCAAACCAGAAGCATCACACTCCACCTCGAATGTCTTATTGAAATCCGGCAACATCAGGATAGGTGAATGCGTGAGCTTGTGCTTGAGCAGCTCGAATGCTCTGGTCTGCTCCTCTCCCCAATAGAACGTCACGTTCTTCTTGATGATGGATGTCAATGGTGCGGCAATGGTGCTGAAGTTGGGCACAAATCGACGATAAAATCCAGCAAGCCCATGAAAGCTCCGCACCTCATTCACGTTGGTTGGAATAGGCCAATCGCGAATTGCTTTCACCTTCTCTTCATCCACCTTGACTCCATCTGCACTCACCACAAAACCAAGAAAAATAACACTAGAAGTGCAAAACGAGCACTTCTTGAGGTTAGCATACAATTTCTCCTTTCTCAACATCGCCAACACCTCTCTCAAGTGATTGAGATGATCCTCCATGCACTTCGAGTAGATCAGAATGTCGTCGAAGTATACGACCACGAACTTGCCAATGAATGGCCTCAAAACATGGTTCATCAGCCTCATGAAAGTGCTAGGAGCATTGGTTAAACCAAAGGGCATCACCATCCATTCGTATAGACCCTGCTTGGTCTTAAACGCAGTCTTCCACTCGTCTCCCTCCTTCATACGAATTTGGTGGTAACCTGATCTCAAATCAATCTTGGAAAACACCGTAGAGCCATGTAATTCATCAAGCATATCATCTAATCGTGGAATGGGATGACGATACTTAACTGTAATTTGATTGATGGCTCGGCAGTCTACACACATCCGCCAGGTGTGATCCTTCTTTGGCACGAGAATCACCGGAACTGCACACGGGCTCAAACTTTCTCGAACATGCCCCTTCTCCATGAGCTCGTCAATCTGCCTTTGCAGCTCTTTGGTCTCTTCCGGGTTAGCTCGATATGCTGCCTTGTTTGGAATTTGAGCTCCCGGCAAGAAATCAATTTGGTGCTCAATTCCGCGAATAGGAGGCAGCCCCTTCGGTGCTTCCTCTGGAAACACATCCTCGAACTCATCCAACACCACTCTTGCTTCGGCTGGAACTTCTTGGACTAGCTCTTGATTGAGCAGCACGTCCCTGTACATGAGCACAATCAAAGGTTCTCGTGCACAGGTAGCTTGCTTCAAATCTCCATTGCGTGCTAGCATCACTGCCTTCGAATCCACAATTCCAGCTCCCTCTTCTCCTTTCTTGGCCGAGGCATTACTTGCCTTTTCTTGCTCTCGACGTTGCTGCATTTGGAGTTGATCTCGATATACTTCACTTGGAGACAGAGGCTTCAACACGAACTTCTTTCCTCCATGTTGCAACTTGTACTTATTTTTCACTCCATCGTGCTGTGCTTGTCGATCAAATTGCCATGGCCTGCCAAAAAGCACATGTGCAGCTTGCATAGGCACTATATCACACAAAATCTCATCTTTGTAATCTCCAATCTCGAACTTCATTAGTGCCTGCTTTGTGACTTTGATGGATCCGTGATCGTTAAGCCATTGCAGCGTGTATGGCTTTGGATGCTTCAACGTAGGCAGCCCTAGCCTCTTCACCGCACACGCGCTCACAACGTTCGTGCAACTTCCTCCATCGATCACTAGAGACAGCAACTTCCCATCAACTACACATCTCGTATGGAAGATATTTTCTCTCTGTTCACTCTCCTCCTTAGGCTGCACAGACAATACTCTCCGTGCTACAAACAAGCTGCCAGGAGGTGGTTCCATTTCCATAGACTCATCGACATCAGAATCGGTGGTCTCTTCCTCTTCCTCCGATACATACTCACCATTATCAAGCAAGATCAGGGTCTTCTTATTGGCACACTGGCTCGCAATGTGTCCTCTTCCATGGCATTTGAAACAACGAATTTCCCCCGACGTTCCACCTTGCTTCATAACTGGATTTGCACCATCAGCCCTTGCCGCGGGTCTAGGAGCTTCTTTCACGGGCAGTTGCGGCTTAGGGTTGGTTGCAACTCCTTGGCTCGAACGTGTGGAATTCATGGAGGGTTGAAACCTCCTATTTCGAAGCTGTCGTTCCACTTTACTTGCCATATCCACCAAATCTTCAAGTTCAAGGAACGGTTGTATCTCCACCACGTTCTTGATCTCTCGATTGAGACCATACAGAAAACGAGCTATGGTAGCCTCGCGGTCCTCTCTCACATCAGCACGTATCATCAACACTTCCAACTCCTTGTGATAATCTTCAACGCTTTTAGTTCCTTGCCGGAGAAGCTGGAGGTTTTGATACATATCTCGCAAATGGGAACTCGGTACAAACCGATCCCTCATAATTCCTTTCATCTCATCCCACGTCTCAATAGGACGCTGCCTGTTTCTCCTTCGTTTTGTTCCCAACTGATCCCACCAAACAAGTGCATAATCCGAGAACTCTAGGGCAGCCAATGTCACTTTCTTCTTCTCGGAGTAGTTATGACAATCAAACACTAGTTCCATCTTTCGCTCCCAATCCAAATAAGCATCAGGGTTCGTGGTACCGCGAAAAGGTGGAATTGTGACCTTGAGGTTTCGCAAATCATCCTCCTCAAAGCCCTCTTCTTCCTCGTCATTAAACTCCTCTTCATGATGTTGTTGCCGCCCTCTTCTTTCAGCTCGAGGCATTCCCAGGCGTCTATGCTGGCGCATATGACGCTGTATTTCGTGAACCAAGGGTGGAGGAGCTCGGTTTTCCCTTCCCCTTTCTTCTTGTTGAGGTCTAGGGTTAGGGTTTGCATCGACCACAACCGGCTGCTGAAGCCTTGTCTCGACAGCCTCCATCCTCGTGGCTTGCTCGGCAAGCCTTGCTGTTTGCTCTTCTTGAGCACGAGCAATGTTCTCCAATCGATTTCTGATCGCTTCGAGTGCTGCTTCCATGTTTGATAGGCAAGAAAAGTCCACGAACACAAGAACTCTCAAGAATAAACAACCTCCTGTCTTGCGGCTCAAGAACACGCCAAGACCTTCAAGAAAACTTCAAGAACACGCCACTGATTTGAACCTTAGCTCTGATACCACTTGATATAATCAAAGTTGCGCAGGGTCAAGCTTCTCGAACCAAACAGAACCGGATAGGATGGAAATCGATCGGACAGTACTCACCCGTGAATAAGGGCAATCGATATGTGAATCGATCGGACAGATTCAACTCGGAATAAAGGGCAATCGATATGGGTAGCTCGCCACAACCAGGGTGATTACCTAGCTGATAAGAGTCGCTCTAGCACTCTGGAGATTCTCGACAGAGCAATTAGGGCAAATTCCGCGTAGGGAACTCGGCTTTAGCCTCTGAAATTCAATAATAATCGTCTAAGGGCAAAACCAACGTGTTCAGCCCTTTAAATAGGCAAAATACAACCCAAATCCGACTCTAACATGGAAAAACAATCATAAACCGACTTTAAAACAAGGAAACTCGGAAACAGCCCAGCAAACCCGTTAAGCCCAACCCGTTAAGCCTGGACCCGTTAAGTAAACCCGTTAAGGCTGGACCCGTTAAGCAAACCCGTTAAGGCTGCTTCTTGCAATCTGCCTTTTCTTCAGCACTTCCTCCTTCTTCCTCCACTCGAATCATCATATATGGCTTCCCTCGAAATAGCTCCACATCCATGGCTCCAAAGTAGCTCTCCAAATATGTCGCAAGCTTCTCCTTCAATGTCCTTGCCTTAGCACGTGTGACTGGCCCATTGATGTCCTCATCAGCCCCTCCTTCTTCAAAAGGATTTGCCCTCAAATCCGAATTGCCATCCAAATAAGGTGCAAGGTCAGAAACATTAAACGTTGCACTTACTCCATACTCTCCCGGCAAGTCGATCTTGTAGGCATTGCTTCCAATCTTCGAAACCACCTGGAAAGGACCATCACATCGGGGCATTAACTTTGATTTCCTCTGCTGGGGAAACCTCTCCTTCCTCAAATGCACCCACACCCAGTCGCCAACTTCAAAGTGCCTCGGTTTCCTGTTTTTGTTCACATTGCGCATGATCTGCTCCGTCCTTCTCTCAATGTTCAATCTCGCCTTCTCATGTAAACTCTTCACGAACTCAGCTTTCTTGGCTCCATCGAGATTGACCTGCTCATTCAAAGGTAATGGCATCAAATCCAAAGGAGTGAGTGGATTGAAACCATACACGAGCTCAAACGGAGTGAACTTCGTCGTCGAGTGCACCATCCTGTTGTAAGCAAACTCTACATGGGGAAGGCAGTCCTCCCAAACCCTGATGTTGCTCTTGATCACAGCTCGAAGCATCTGGGATAATGTTCGATTGACCACCTCTGTTTGCCCATCGGTTTGAGGGTGACATGTAGTAGAGAACAACAGCTTCGTCCCCAGTTTGCTCCACAACGTCTTCCAGAAGAAACTCAGAAACTTAGTATCTCGATCGGATACTATGGAACGCGGCATCCCATGCAATCGCACCACTTCCCTGAAAAACAAATCAGCCACGTTAACCGCATCGTCAGTCTTATGGCATGGGATAAAGTGTGCCATCTTCGAGAATCGATCCACCACCACGAAAATCGAATCTCTTCCCTTCCTTGTCCGCGGCAAACCAAGCACAAAATCCATAGAGATGTCGATCCATGGAGCATATGGAATCGGTAGCGGTGTGTACAATCCAGATGATTGCACCTTCGACTTGGCCTGCTTGCACTCCACACACCTCGCACACAGATTCTCCACGTCTCCCTTCATGTGCGGCCAATAGAAGTGCTCTTGTAGACAACTCAGCGTCTTGTCTACACCGAAATGGGCCATTAAGCCTCCTCCATGAGCCTCTTTCAACAGCAACTCTCGAAGTGATGATCGAGGAATACACAACTGGTTAGCTCGAAACAAGTAACCATCACTTCGATAGAACTTCCCATCGCCATGCTGCTCACAAGCTCTATAGATCTCCCCAAAGTCAGCATCTTCAGAATAGAGCTCCTTGATATGCTCGAAACCCAAATACTTCACCCCCATTGTCGTGATCAACGAATTCCTTCGAGATAGGGCATCAGCAACTACATTTTCTTTGCCCTGCTTGTACTTGATCACGTATGGAAAGGACTCAATGAACTCAACCCATCGAGCATGTCTCTTGTTCAGCTTGTGTTGAGCTTTCAAATACTTCAACGACTCGTGATCAGTGTGAATCACGAACTCCTTCGGCCAAAGATAGTGCTGCCATGTCTCTAAGGCTCGAACTAGAGCATAAAGCTCCTTGTCGTACGTCGGATAGTTGAGGGCAGCCCCACTCAACTTCTCGCTGAAGTAAGCAATCGGCTTCTTCTCTTGCATCAACACTGCTCCAATTCCCAAACCAGAAGCATCACACTCCACCTCGAATGTCTTATTGAAATCCGGCAACATCAGGATAGGTGAATGCGTGAGCTTGTGCTTGAGCAGCTCGAATGCTCTGGTCTGCTCCTCTCCCCAATAGAACGTCACGTTCTTCTTGATGATGGATGTCAATGGTGCGGCAATGGTGCTGAAGTTGGGCACAAATCGACGATAAAATCCAGCAAGCCCATGAAAGCTCCGCACCTCATTCACGTTGGTTGGAATAGGCCAATCGCGAATTGCTTTCACCTTCTCTTCATCCACCTTGACTCCATCTGCACTCACCACAAAACCAAGAAAAATAACACTAGAAGTGCAAAACGAGCACTTCTTGAGGTTAGCATACAATTTCTCCTTTCTCAACATCGCCAACACCTCTCTCAAGTGATTGAGATGATCCTCCATGCACTTCGAGTAGATCAGAATGTCGTCGAAGTATACGACCACGAACTTGCCAATGAATGGCCTCAAAACATGGTTCATCAGCCTCATGAAAGTGCTAGGAGCATTGGTTAAACCAAAGGGCATCACCATCCATTCGTATAGACCCTGCTTGGTCTTAAACGCAGTCTTCCACTCGTCTCCCTCCTTCATACGAATTTGGTGGTAACCTGATCTCAAATCAATCTTGGAAAACACCGTAGAGCCATGTAATTCATCAAGCATATCATCTAATCGTGGAATGGGATGACGATACTTAACTGTAATTTGATTGATGGCTCGGCAGTCTACACACATCCGCCAGGTGTGATCCTTCTTTGGCACGAGAATCACCGGAACTGCACACGGGCTCAAACTTTCTCGAACATGCCCCTTCTCCATGAGCTCGTCAATCTGCCTTTGCAGCTCTTTGGTCTCTTCCGGGTTAGCTCGATATGCTGCCTTGTTTGGAATTTGAGCTCCCGGCAAGAAATCAATTTGGTGCTCAATTCCGCGAATAGGAGGCAGCCCCTTCGGTGCTTCCTCTGGAAACACATCCTCGAACTCATCCAACACCACTCTTGCTTCGGCTGGAACTTCTTGGACTAGCTCTTGATTGAGCAGCACGTCCCTGTACATGAGCACAATCAAAGGTTCTCGTGCACAGGTAGCTTGCTTCAAATCTCCATTGCGTGCTAGCATCACTGCCTTCGAATCCACAATTCCAGCTCCCTCTTCTCCTTTCTTGGCCGAGGCATTACTTGCCTTTTCTTGCTCTCGACGTTGCTGCATTTGGAGTTGATCTCGATATACTTCACTTGGAGACAGAGGCTTCAACACGAACTTCTTTCCTCCATGTTGCAACTTGTACTTATTTTTCACTCCATCGTGCTGTGCTTGTCGATCAAATTGCCATGGCCTGCCAAAAAGCACATGTGCAGCTTGCATAGGCACTATATCACACAAAATCTCATCTTTGTAATCTCCAATCTCGAACTTCATTAGTGCCTGCTTTGTGACTTTGATGGATCCGTGATCGTTAAGCCATTGCAGCGTGTATGGCTTTGGATGCTTCAACGTAGGCAGCCCTAGCCTCTTCACCGCACACGCGCTCACAACGTTCGTGCAACTTCCTCCATCGATCACTAGAGACAGCAACTTCCCATCAACTACACATCTCGTATGGAAGATATTTTCTCTCTGTTCACTCTCCTCCTTAGGCTGCACAGACAATACTCTCCGTGCTACAAACAAGCTGCCAGGAGGTGGTTCCATTTCCATAGACTCATCGACATCAGAATCGGTGGTCTCTTCCTCTTCCTCCGATACATACTCACCATTATCAAGCAAGATCAGGGTCTTCTTATTGGCACACTGGCTCGCAATGTGTCCTCTTCCATGGCATTTGAAACAACGAATTTCCCCCGACGTTCCACCTTGCTTCATAACTGGATTTGCACCATCAGCCCTTGCCGCGGGTCTAGGAGCTTCTTTCACGGGCAGTTGCGGCTTAGGGTTGGTTGCAACTCCTTGGCTCGAACGTGTGGAATTCATGGAGGGTTGAAACCTCCTATTTCGAAGCTGTCGTTCCACTTTACTTGCCATATCCACCAAATCTTCAAGTTCAAGGAACGGTTGTATCTCCACCACGTTCTTGATCTCTCGATTGAGACCATACAGAAAACGAGCTATGGTAGCCTCGCGGTCCTCTCTCACATCAGCACGTATCATCAACACTTCCAACTCCTTGTGATAATCTTCAACGCTTTTAGTTCCTTGCCGGAGAAGCTGGAGGTTTTGATACATATCTCGCAAATGGGAACTCGGTACAAACCGATCCCTCATAATTCCTTTCATCTCATCCCACGTCTCAATAGGACGCTGCCTGTTTCTCCTTCGTTTTGTTCCCAACTGATCCCACCAAACAAGTGCATAATCCGAGAACTCTAGGGCAGCCAATGTCACTTTCTTCTTCTCGGAGTAGTTATGACAATCAAACACTAGTTCCATCTTTCGCTCCCAATCCAAATAAGCATCAGGGTTCGTGGTACCGCGAAAAGGTGGAATTGTGACCTTGAGGTTTCGCAAATCATCCTCCTCAAAGCCCTCTTCTTCCTCGTCATTAAACTCCTCTTCATGATGTTGTTGCCGCCCTCTTCTTTCAGCTCGAGGCATTCCCAGGCGTCTATGCTGGCGCATATGACGCTGTATTTCGTGAACCAAGGGTGGAGGAGCTCGGTTTTCCCTTCCCCTTTCTTCTTGTTGAGGTCTAGGGTTAGGGTTTGCATCGACCACAACCGGCTGCTGAAGCCTTGTCTCGACAGCCTCCATCCTCGTGGCTTGCTCGGCAAGCCTTGCTGTTTGCTCTTCTTGAGCACGAGCAATGTTCTCCAATCGATTTCTGATCGCTTCGAGTGCTGCTTCCATGTTTGATAGGCAAGAAAAGTCCACGAACACAAGAACTCTCAAGAATAAACAACCTCCTGTCTTGCGGCTCAAGAACACGCCAAGACCTTCAAGAAAACTTCAAGAACACGCCACTGATTTGAACCTTAGCTCTGATACCACTTGATATAATCAAAGTTGCGCAGGGTCAAGCTTCTCGAACCAAACAGAACCGGATAGGATGGAAATCGATCGGACAGTACTCACCCGTGAATAAGGGCAATCGATATGTGAATCGATCGGACAGATTCAACTCGGAATAAAGGGCAATCGATATGGGTAGCTCGCCACAACCAGGGTGATTACCTAGCTGATAAGAGTCGCTCTAGCACTCTGGAGATTCTCGACAGAGCAATTAGGGCAAATTCCGCGTAGGGAACTCGGCTTTAGCCTCTGAAATTCAATAATAATCGTCTAAGGGCAAAACCAACGTGTTCAGCCCTTTAAATATGCAAAATACAACCCAAATCCGACTCTAACATGGAAAAACAATCATAAACCGACTTTAAAACAAGGAAACTCGGAAACAGCCCAGCAAACCCGTTAAGCCCAACCCGTTAAGCCTGGACCCGTTAAGTAAACCCGTTAAGGCTGGACCCGTTAAGCAAACTCGTTAAGGCTGCTTCTTGCAATCTGCCTTTTCTTCAGCACTTCCTCCTTCTTCCTCCACTCGAATCATCATATATGGCTTCCCTCGAAATAGCTCCACATCCATGGCTCCAAAGTAGCTCTCCAAATATGTCGCAAGCTTCTCCTTCAATGTCCTTGCCTTAGCACGTGTGACTGGCCCATTGATGTCCTCATCAAAATTCACCTTATTGTGTAATTTGAACTCGGTACTAAGAGTTCGTACTCGTGCACATCTTGTCATTATGACACAATTAAGCATTTTATGTGTTTACATGACTAAACCAATCAAAGACTCACATGTCTATCAACATTACAAGACATTTGGAGTGCAAAACCACCTTATTGTGCAATATGGACTCGGTACTAATAGTTCGTACTCATGCACATCTTGTCATTATGACACAATTAAGCAGTTTATGTGTTTATATGACTAAACCAATCAAAGAATCACATGTCTATCAACATTACAAGACATTTGGAGTGCGTAATCCACCTTATAGTCCAATTTGGACTCGCTACTAAGAGTTTGTACTCATGCACATCTTGTCATTATGACACAATTAAGCGGTTTATGTGTTTACATGACTAAACCAATCAAAGAATCACATGTCTATCAACATTACAAGACATTTGGAGTGCAAATCCACCTTATTGTGTGTGCAATTTGGACTCGGTACTAGGAATTCGAACTCGTGCACGTCTTGTTATTATGACACAATTAAGCGGGTTATGTGTTTATATGACTAAACCAATCATTGAATCACATGTCCATCAACATTACAAGACATTTGGAGTGCAAATCCACCTTATTGTGCACTTTGGACTCGGTACTAAGAGTTCGTACTCGTGCACATCTTGTCATTATGACACAATTAAGCGGTTTATGTTTTTAAATTACTAAACCAATCATTGAAACACATGTCCATCAACATTACAAGTCATTTGAAGCGGAAATCCACCTTATTGTGCAATTTGGACTCGTTACTAAGAGTTCGTTCTCGTGCACATCTTGTCATTATGACACAATTAAGCGGTTTATGTGTTTAAATGACTAAACCAATCATTGAATTACATGTCCATCAACATTACAAGACATTTGGAGTGCGTAATCCATCTTATTGTGCAATTTGGACTCGCTACTAAGAGTTCTTTCTCGTGCACATCTTGTCATTATGACATAATTAAGCGGTTTATGTGTTTAAATGACTAAACCAATCATTGAATCACATATCCATCAACATTACAAGACGTTTGGAGTGCAAATCCACCTTATTGTGTAATTTGGACTCGGTACTAAGAGTTCGTACTCGTGCACATCTTGTCATTATGACAAAATTAAGCAGTTTATGTGTTTATATGACTAAACCAATCAAAGAATCACATGTCTATCAACATTACAAGACATTTGGAGTGCGTAATTCACCTTATTGTCCAATTTAAACTCGCTACTAAGAGTTCATACTCGTGCACATCTTGTCATTATGACACAATTAAGCGGTTTATGTGTTTACATGACTAAACCAATCCAAGAATCACATGTCTATCAACATTACAAGACATTAGGAGTGCAAATCCACCTTATTGTAAAATTTTGACTCGGTACTAGGAATTCGAACTCGTGCACGTCTTGTCATTATGACACAATTAAGTGGTTTGTGTGTTTATATGACTAAACCAATCATTGAATCACATGTCCATCAACATTACAAGACATTTGGAGTGCGTAATCCATCTTATTGTGCAATTTGGACTCGGTACTAAGAGTTCGTTCTCGTGCACATCTTGTCATTATGACACAACTAAGCGGTTTATGTGTTTAAATGACTAAACCTATCATTGAATCACAT